GATTCTCTCAAATAACCAGTTTGAAATGTTCACAGGACATTTCCTGTAACACAGGACTGAGACTCATGGAAGAGACTGTGAACATATATATATATATATATATAGGTCTAGGAGTTATTTATGTAGGGATGAGAGCTAAACTCTTTGAGTTCATAAGTTTATGAAGAAAGTGTAGAGTCAGTCAACAATGTTCCTGGTACTACACAAAAAAGCAAAATCATTGTCCTTGCCCTTAAGGAGCTCACATTCTAAAGAGGGAGACAATATGCAAGCAGCTCTGTACATGTAAGATATAAACACTATAAATGAAAGGAAATATCAGAGGGAAATGCCTTCTGTAGAAGTAAACATTTGAGATGCAGCTAGGTAGCGCAGCGAGTAGAGCCTGGATTCAGGAAGACTGGAGTTCAAATCCCGCCTCAGACACAAACACTTACTAGCTGTGTTACTCTGGTCAAGTCACTTAACCCCACTACCTAGCCAAAAAAAAAAAAAAAAAATAAGTAGTAAACATTTGAGCTCAGTCTTGAAGAAAACCAGGGAAGCAAAGATGAGGAGCAAAAACATTCTCAGGCATAGGAGGCTGCCAGTGAAAACACTGAAACAAAGAGATGGAATGTCATGTGCGAGGAACAGCAAGTAGACCAGTGTAGCTGGATCACTAAGTACATTGAGGGGGGTGGGGGGGAGTGGAGAAGAGTCTGAAAAGTGGCCATGTTGTAAAGGCTTTAAAAGCCAAACCAAAGATACTATTTTTGATCTTGGAGGTAAGGGAGAGCCACTGGTGTTCACACTCGATGCTAAGGAAGATTATATTGAGTAGAGGATGGACTGGAGTAGGAAAGGTCTTAAGGCTGAGAGGCCAATCAGAAGTCTACTGTAGCGGTCCATTTAGGAAATGATGAGGCCCTAAGGTTGTGTCACATATGTTGAGAAAAGGGGACATCTATAAGAGACATTATGAAGTTAGAACAACAAAACATGACAAAAGATTAGATATGTGAATTAAGTATGAGTGAGGAGCCAAGGATGAGGACTGAGGTTGTAAGCCTATGTGACTTGAAAGGTGACTTCCCTGTAGAGTAACAGGGAATCTGGGAAGAGTGGGGAACTTGACAGGAAAGATAATGAGCTCTGTTTTGAACATGACAAAGATGCATTACCTTCTTCAACCTAAGAACCGCAGGGTCTTTCCATCTTAAAACTAAAACCTGAAATGTGCACTAGCTCCACCTACTAGAATGTGCACTCTTGTATAGATTATCGTGCCTTTCTACTCATATTCCCAATGCTTAGCATAGTGCTTTACACACACATAATGCTTAATAAATACTTCTTTAAGCATTCTTTGTATGAACACGCTTTTCTACACTGTAAAAATTTAATTTTTTGACCCTTCCTTTGAGCCTTCAGATAGGTTCACAATCTATTTTTGTGAGAGTCACAGATTCAAAGTTGGTCTGAAGCCTTTGTTTAAAAAAGAATAAAAACTGATGCACTACTGATAATAGTAAGTCTGTTTGAATGTAGTTTATTTCCTCAAAATCCAGTTATGATTCATGTTTGCAGCTAAACTTCCCCATGTCCTTACAGAATTTTTCTTGCTTAAACTTGCCATAGTACTTTCTCTTTCCAGGTGTATAGAGAGACAGGAGAGGTGTAAACGAAAATGTTAAATGACTACCTGTAGTAGGAAGTCTACAAAACAATGTTAAGTTAGAGGGAGACACAAGAGAATCTAAAAAGGGTTTACCAGTTATCACAGTATTTCAAATAGCTGATAATTCTACCACTGCTCTTCAAGAGATATTTCTATTTGCCAAATACTACTCTTCTTTCTCTTCCTGCCCTTCCCCTCCCCCACTCAACTAGCAATAATGTTAGCTAGCTTTTGCGGCTGTTTAAGTCATTAAGCCCTAAAAAATACAAAAATATTGACAAAATATAAACAAAGGCACAGAAATTATAACAAGGGCTCTGCACATTAATAATGGAATTAGACCTGCATCAATCCTGTTCTACCTAGCAGCCACAATCAGTTGGAGCTGTCACTCAACAATTATATGTGCATAAAAACATTTTTAATTTAAAAATTAATTTTGCCAATCATGGAAGTCATAAAAGCTATAGGTTATACAAATACTGAAAAGCCAAATAGTGATTCTACAGAAAGTAATGTCAACATATGTACTTTTCTTTTCAATTTTTAAGCATTTAATCATTATTTTCCCTTCCACTCTGCTTTCTCTGAAATAAATAAAATGGAAAAATAAAACCCTTATAATGAGAACAGTCAAGCAAAACAAATCCCCATATTGATCATATCTAATATATACCTCATTCTGCATATTAGTACATCAGTTCATTGTCAAAAAGTGGCATTCTTCTTCACCAGTCCTATAGAATCCTAGCTGATCAGTGATCAGTTATCAAAATCATTTGTTTTTTACAGGATAAATTGTGTTTCTGGTTCTGGTCCCTTTATTCTGATTCAGTCCATACAAGTTATCCCAGGTCTCTGTTTCTTAGAATAATATTCTATTACATTCATATGCCATAATTTGTTCATCTATTCCCCACTGGATGGAAACCCCTTTAGTTCCAGTTCTATTATGTCACCACAAAAAGAGTGCAGATATACTAACTCATTAAATATCCCAACTAAGATATCCCACCATCACCTCAACATGTCCAAAAGCAATCTTATCATTCTTATCAAATCAGTTTAACCTCCAAATTCTCCCACTACAGTCATGAAAGATCAAAATTCAGGGCAGCTAGGTGGCGCAGTGGATAGAGCACCAGCCCCGAAGTCAGGAGTACCTGAGTTCAAATCCGGCCTCAGACAAACACTTGACACTTACTAGCTGTGTGACCCTGGGCAAGTCACTTCACCCCAACTGCCTTAAAAAAGAAGGGAAAAAAAAGATCAAAATTCCTGAGTCATCCTCTATAATGGTTTCCTTACCAAATGGAACTAAGGTTTCAACTCCTTTCCTTTCTTTTACCCAAAGCTATCTCACCTGAAACCTGGATTATAAAATAGTCTCCCCTCACTTGGAAGATTCTCTTCATTCCAATCCATCTAAGGACAATACTGTCGGACCAACTTTCCCAAAATTGATCCTAACCTATGTTAGACCCTGAAGACACAAAGACAAAAAAAAACAATTCCATGTCTAAACAGTCCCTGTCTTCAGGGAAATATTCTAAAGGAAAATATACACACAAATAAAATAAAAAGTAAATATAATGTAATTCTGAGGCAAGAGAAGGAGGCATTAATAACTGGGGAATTCAGTTCTGTTTATATTAATCCTAACTAACCCTCAAGGACCAATTTAAATTCATTCTACTTGTTGATACGGCTTTCTTCCTATCTCCATGAGCATTTATGATCTATAAGACACAATAATACTCTGATCCAATTCATCCAGAAAGCATTTGTGAATTTTCTACCATCTACAAAAAGCATTGTGCGTGGCCCTGGAAATACAAAGAGAAAATAAAACCAGTTCCTAAACTCCCAAAATCAACATGGGAAGAGAAGATAATAGCATAAGCAAACAGTTATCTGTAACCTAAGGCATAGTATCACCCAATACTCGACAGTCAGATGTACTGACCCAAGAAAATCATTATCTCTCTTCATTTAACTGCACACACCTGGAGTAACTCCATGAACGTCTCCAAATACAGCTTATACATAGGTTTCTCCAAATGTGAAAAAATATTCCCAACTTCATAATATTCAATGTGATATTTATTGTAAAGCAATTATTTGAACTTCTCAATGATTTCAATTCTATATAAGTAGTCTTCTCTGATGGTTCTTCATTCCTGTTATGCCCAGTAACTGTGGGTGTCCTCCAAGGTAGCGTCTTGAGCTTTTATCTTTTACCTCTAGCTTCAATTCCTATGGGTTCAATATTATCTCTATGCAGATCTATATATCCAACCCTACTCTATTCTGAGTGCCAGCCCAAAATCACCAAATGCTTTTTGGACATTTCTCATTGGATATAGGCATCTATAACTTAGATCCAAAACAGAATTCATTATCTTCCTCCCCAAACCTCCCCCTCTTCCCAACTTGCCTATAACTGTCAAAAACACCACTATTCTCCAATTCACTCAGGCCTATGACCATCGTATCATCCTCTATTCCTCATTCTCACCCCATATATCCATTACGTTGCCAAATCTTGCAGCTTCTATCACAGTCTCTCTCACTACAACTCCTTTTCTCCCCTCACACACCCATAATCCTAGTTTAGGCCCTTATCACCTCTCACACAGACTGTTACAGAAACACTCTAACTGGTCTCTTGCCTCAGTTCTCTCCCCACTCCAATCCATCCTCCAATCAGCTGCTAACATGACTTTATGGAAGCATCTATCTGACACAGTCACCATTCTGCTCAACGAGCTCCAGTGGCTCCCAATAATTTCCTGAATCAACCATAAATTGCTTTGACATTTCTATGTTTTTATTATAGGGCCCATCAGCCTTGTTATATCTTACTCTCCTCCAAGTATTCTCCATTCTAGCAATATTGGCCTACTTGCATAGGATATTCCATCTCCCATCTCTGGGTCTTTGTACTAGCTGTCCCCCATACCTAAAATGCCCTGCCTGCCCCCTCACCTTGATTCCCTTCAAGTCTCAGCTCAATCTTGCCTACTCTAGGAAATTTTTTTCCAAGTGGCTAACAGCTGCAAATGTCTTCTCATCATGTCTCTCATCAGTTCTGTATATATCTTAAATCCAACCTAGTTAGCAGTGGTCACCCTCATTCAAATGTAAGCTCCTTGAGGGCAAAGACCATGTTTTTTGCCTTTCTTTGTATCCACAGTGCCTAGCACACAGTAAACACTTAATAAACATTTGTCTTGACTTGACATTATACTGTTTCTTTAAATGCCAAAAGCAGTAAGAAAAAACTACAAGTTAGTAAGAAAGGCAACTGAATGCATTTTCTAATTATTTTAAAACATACCATTCTGCACAGGAAGATTGTTTGAGTGATTTTTTCCTTGCTTTTCCTTCTTAATATTCTTTGAATCTAAAAAGAAATATTATGACCAAACTTATTAGTAAGATTTAGAAGCAAAAATATATTAAAGATCACTCAATGTTTCTGTAGTTGTTTACTGAAACTTTTCTAACAAAAAATTTACTATTACCCATTTTATACTGATTTATAACATAATATCACCTGGAAATTAATTAGGCATTTTAGGAAATTCATTAATCAGCAAGAGCAGTGTGGTAGTGTGTAGTATTGGATCAGGAATCTAAAAAACTCTAGGTTCAAAGGTTGCCTCTGACTGTAACCAAGGGAGTAAGTGATTTCAATCTGAGCCTCGAGGAACTTCAGTTTCAATCTGTATCAGTGGAAAGAATATAAATCAAAGACTGTTAACATGTTAACACACTCAATGAGACATAAAGATAACATTTAACAAAATGGAATGATAAATCACTGTTTATTAGTTATGCAAAGAAATTAACACAGTCTCAAAATTACATTACATAATAGAAAGATATTACTGATAATAAAACCAGAGAGAAAGTCAAATTTTAATTTTATTTGATATTTTGGTAAACTAGTAGTTGTAAGAGCTTACAGGGCCTAGAGCTACAAAATATGAAACCTATAATTTAGAGCTAGAAGGGACCTCACAGGGAGCAGCTAGGTGGTGCAGTGGATAGAGCACCAGGTCTGGAGTCTGGAGGGGCTGAGTTCAAATCCGACCTCAAGGGGGGACCTGGAGGGGAAGGGGAGGGGAAGGAGAGGCAGAGGGGTAAGGAGAAAGGACGTCACAGAAGTGATTCAGCCCAATCTCCAAAGGAAACTGAGACCCAAGGAAATACTAGGAGAAGAAGAAAGAGAAGAAGAAAGGACATCACAGAAGTGATTCAGCCCAATCTCCAAAGGAAACTGAGACCCAAGGAAATACTAAATTGTGAAGTAAGTTAATGTTGGCCTCTTCTACTTCCTAGGTCCACTTCCCTCTCTTTATTCTTCCCTCTGAATTTAGAATGAGTATCCCCCCCAAAAGTCTAACCCACTTAATTTATTTTCTATAACACTTTAAAAGACAAATCTAACTAATGCTTACTAATTGCTATTAAGACCATCAAATTAAGTTTAAACAAAACTAAAAATTTCTTCTATCTTCTTATACCTGAAGTAAACCGATAGATCAAATGACCTATTCCACATGTATTCTAACCTAACAGACAAGAAACTGAAATATTTTCTTCCTATCTTCTTTTGACACGTAAGTCACCTCACCTTTATTTACTGTTTTCCCCATAGTTGTCCTCTTCTTCAGTGTTCTTCCTTGGGACAGGAAAGACCAGGAGCTGCCTCTTTATCACACAAAAAGATTCCTGAAAGGCAGTATTACTACAAATCAGTTGCAACACATATTACCTGCTTCTAATTAAAACTGGAAAATCAAAAGAAAGGCTACAAAAAACTAGAATGAAAAACATTTTCACTTTATTAAAATTAAGTAAATCTCCTCAGGAGATAAAGATTTTATGCAATCATTACTAAAAATAGTCCTTAATGGAAATTTGTAAATATATTCCACTTTCTATTTTAAAGATTCTCAGAAAATATCCTCATAAATTCGATTAGAAAAAAGAACCATCAAATAATATAGTGTTAGCTGAACTTCCCTTTTCTTAAAAATATTCATCCATAACTGAAATTAAAGGTAGGAAAAAAAAGGATACAAGTTTTTACTTTAAAATTTTGTTGAAAACAAATATCAAAATCTGAATCTTGATTTCATGAAAATTATTTACTAATCAAGAGGATTTGTTACAATTTTTAGATATCCACATCTTGCTAAAAGGAACCATAGACAATGAATTAATATAAATACTCAACATATATGCACCAAACAGCATAGCACCCAAATTCCTAAAGGAAAAGTTAAATTAAACAAGAGGATATAGTACATACTACTGGGGGAACTCAACTTTTCCCTCTCAGAACTAAATAAATCTAACAATAAAATAAATTTTAAAAAGAAGTCAAGGAAATTAATAGAATATTAGAAAAGTTAGATATGAAAGACTTCTGGAGAAAACTGAATAGGAATAGAAAGGAATATACCTTTTTCTCAGCTACACATGGCACTTTCACAAAAACTACGCATTAGCGCATAAAAAATGTCACAATCAAATGCAGAAAAGCAGAAATATTAAATGTATCCTTTAAAGATCACAATGCAATAAAATTTACACTTATTAAAGGGTTGTAAAAGCACAGATTAAAAATTAATGGGCGGAGGGACAGCCAGGTGGTGCACTGGATAAAGAACCAGCCCTGGAGTCAGGAGGACCTGAGTTCAAATCCAGCCTCAGACACTTAACATTTACTAGCTGTGTGATCCTGGGCATGTCATTTAACCCTGATTGCCTTGCTCCTCTCCCAAAGAAAAAGTAAATTAGAAACCACATAATGTAATCCTAAAGAATAAGTGGGTCAAAGAACAAATCATAGAAAAAATCAATAATTTCATTTAAAAAAATGATAATGAGACAACATTCTATGAGATAAAGCCAAAGCAATACTTAGGGGAAAATGTATTTCTCTAAATGTATACATCAATAAAAGTGACAAAGAGATCAATGAATTGGGCATGCAAATACAAAAAAACTAGATAAAGAATAAATTAAAAATCCACAATTAAACACGAAAATGGGACTCTTGAACACCAAAGGACAGAGTAATAAAATTGAAAGTAAGAAAACCTTGAACTAATAAATAAACTAGGAGCTGGTTTCATGAAAAAATAAAACACATAACCACGGTTAATTTAATCTTAAAAAAAAGAAAGAAAATCAAATTACCAGTATCAAAAATGGAAAGGGTGAATTCACCACTAATGAAGATAAAATTAAAATAATTATTATAAGTTATCTGGCCCAATTATATGCCCAAAAATCTGACTGAAATGGATGAATTTTGTTGTTGTTCAGTCGTTTTTCAGTCGCGTCCAACTCTTCATGACACCCATTTGGGTTTTCTTTGCATAGAAAGTGGATCATTCTCCAATGAGAAAACAGAGGCAAACAGGGTCTCTTGTTTGCCCAGGGTCACATAGTTACTAAGTGTCTAAAGCCAAATTTGAACTCGTGGTAAGTTGTCCTGACTCCAAGCCCTGCTCTATCCACGCGCTACCTAGCTGTCTATGGATGAATATTTGCAAAATATAAATTGCCCAGAATAACAGAAGAGAAAACAGAATACTTAAATAACCCTATCTTAGAAAAAGAAATTCAACAAGCCATAAATGAGCTCCATAAGAAAAAAATCCACTGGACCAGATGAATTCACGAGTTCTACCAAACATTTAAAGAACAATTACAGCTAATACTATATAAACTCCTTGGTAAAACAGGCAAAGTAGGCGTCCTACCAAATTTGTTTATGACACATATGCAGTACGGATTTCCAAACCAGGAAGAGCAAAAACAGAGAAAGAAAACTATAGACCAATTTCCCTAAAGAACACTGATGTAAAATTTTTAAACAAAATACTAGTAAGGAGATTACAGCAATATACCACAAATATTTATCACAAAGATTATGACCAGGTAGGATTTATACTAAGAACGTAAGACTGGTTCAATATTAGGAAAACTATCAGCATAACTGACCATTGAATAATAAAAACAACAAAAATTATGTGATTATCTCAACAGATGCAGAAAAGGCTTGACAAAATACAACGCCCATTCCTACTAAAAATACTAGAGACAGTAAAGGAATAAATAGAGCTTTCTTTAAAGTAAGCAGTAGCTATCTAAAAATCATGGATGCCCATTATCACCACTATTATTCAGTATTGTACTAGAAATGCTAGCTATAGCAATAAGACAAGAAAAAGAAACTGAAGGAATAAAAAAAAAGGCAATGAGAAAATAAAACTATCACTCTGTAGATGATATGATGGTACATTTAGAGAAACCTAGAGAATCAACTAAAAAACTAGCTGAAATAATTAACAGCTTCAACAAAGCTACAGGATATTTTAAAAAACTCACATGTATCATCAGCATTTCTATATGCTACCAACAAAAGCCAGCAGGAAGAGATAGAAAAAGAAATTCCACTTAAAATAACAGCAGACAATATAAAAAATTTGGAAGTCTACCTGCCAAGACAAGCCCAGGAACTATATGAACGTAATTACAAAATATTTTTCACAAAAATAAAGTCACATCTAAACAATTGGATAAAATATTCATTGCTCACGCATAGGCTGAGCCAATATAATGAAAATAACAATTCTACCTAAATTCTACTTATTCAATGCCACAACAAACCACCAAAAAAATTATATTATAGAGTTAGAAAAAATAATAAAAGTAAGCTATAGATACAAAACATCAAGAATAGCAAGGGAATCAAGAGAAAAAAAGTGAAAGAAGATAACTTAGCAGTAGCAGATCCCAAATTGTACTACAAAATAGTAAACATCAAAATAATCTGGCACTGGCTAGGAAATACAATGGTAGCTCAGTTGAATATATTTGGCATACAATACACAGCAGCAAATGACCATAGTAATCTAGTGTTTGAAAAACCCAAAGATCTAAGATTCTGGAACAAGAAATCACTATTTGACCAAAAACTACTGGGAAAACTAGAAAGCAATTTGGCAGAAACTAGTTTTAGACCAAAATCTCACACTGTATACTGAAATAAGGTCAAAATGAGTACGTGATTTAGACATGAAGGGTCATATAAGTAAATTAGGGGAGCATGTTTCCATGCTATAGACCAATTTCCCTACAGAATACTCATGTAAAATTTTTAAATAAAATACTAGTAAGGAGATTAACAGCAATATACCACAAATATATATCACAAAGACATAATGTACCTGTCAGATCTTTTGATAAGGGAAGAGTTTATGTCCAAACAAGAGATAGAGGAAATTACAGGCAGTAAAATGGATAATTTTGATTACATTAAATTAAAAAGGGTTTGCACAAAAAAATTAAATGCAGTCAAGATTAGAAGGAAAGCAGAAAACTGCAGGAAAATTTTTACAGCAAGTTTCTTTGACAAAAGTTTCATTTTTCAAATATATAATTTGAGTTGTCTATAAGAAAACAAGGCATTCCCCTTTTGATAAATGGTCAAAGGACATGAACAGGCAATTTATAGAAGAAGCAATCAAAGCTATTTATAGTCACATGAAAAATGCTCTAAATAACGACTGATTAGAGAAATGTAAAATAAAACAGTTCTAAGATACACCTCACACCTAACAGACTGGCTAATATGACAGAAAAGGGAAATGATAAATGTTGGAGGGGATGTGGAAAAATAGGGGCACTAATACATTGTTTGTGGAGTTGCAAAACTGATCCAATCATTCTGGAGAGCAATCTAGAATTATGCCTGAAAGGCTATAAAACTGTGCATTGACCCAACAATACCACTACTAGATCAATCTGTATCCCAAAGAGATTAAAAAAAAAAAGACCTATACGTACAAAATTATTTATAGCTCTTTTTTATGGTGGCAAAGAATTGGAAATTGAGCAAATGCCCATCAATTGGGGAATGACTAAACCACTTGTGGTTTATGATTGTGATGGAATACTATTGTGCCGTAAGATATGATGAGCAGAATAGTTTCAAAAAAACCTGGAAAGACTTACATGAACTGATGCAAAGTCAAGTGATCAGAAACAGAAGAACATTGTATACAATAACAGCAATACCGGACAATGATCAACTGTGAATGACTTAGCTATTCTAAGCAATACAATGATCTAAGGCAATTCCAAAGAACCAATGATGAAAAATGCTATCTACCTCCAGAGAAAGAAATGATGGATTTTGAATGCAGATCGAATCATACTTTTTTAAACTTTATTTTAATTGGGTTTTATTTGAGGTGGTGTTTGTGTTTTCTTTCACAACATAACTGATATGGAAATATGTTTTCCATTACTGCACATGGATAACATGTCAAATTGCTTGGCTTCTCAAGGAGGGAGGGAATTTGGAACTCAGTTTTTAAAACTGAATATCAAAATGTTTTACATATAATTGGAAAAAAAAGTTCAAAAAAGAAATGACAAGCAGGAGGGCTTCAAAAAACCTGGAACAACTTTTATGACCTGATGCAAAGTGAAATGAGCAGAACCAGTGTGTGTGTGTGTGTGTGTTTTCTCTCGTAACATGGCTACTATGGAAATATGTTCTGCATGACTACATATGTATAATCTGTATCAAGTAGTCTGTCTTCTCAAAGAGGGGATAGGTGCGCAAGGGAGAAAGAGAATTTGGTTATCAAAATTTTTCAAAAATGAATGTTAAAAATTATTTTTACATGTAATTAGAAATATATGTA